CTGTACTCCATTCTGTTTCATGTATTTTTTTATCTAGTGATGTTCATTCAAAAAAAATTTTTAAGGTGCTTCTACCTTTAAAAACATAAAAAATCCTTGCAGAAGTTGAAGATGTTTAGATATAAAAAGAAGTTCCTGATTATTGATGAGTGAAAAGGTAGTTTATAATGTGCTCTGGAAATTGAAATTATAAGTTTAAAGATGCTTCAACATATCCTTCATTAACTTAAAGAAATCACAGATCTGGATGGGTTTTGATGAGAAAAACCTGGAAAGAGAATAGACTTGCTGACACAAGTTCATTAAATTCTCAAAATAAAGACCTCATCTAAAAAAATTTAAGAAAGTATAATTGAGTTAAAGGATGTGGTACTTGTTAGAAAATAAACACAATATTAGCACAATGGACAGAGCACTCCCAGCCTTCAGGAGGGTTCCTGGCTCTTTTTAACTCTTAAGGCTTCATTTCTTGTAAAAATCATTTCTATTCCTCCTAAAATTCATTATTAATAAAAGCACGCTGTCCTCTACAAAATATAGCCACCAACTATGAAGTTGTGACCTCAATGCTTGCTTACATGGTTGTTACAGGGAACTATATTTGTTGGAATATTTCATCTCAACAGCTTTGTTCATTCAAGATTATAAACTATGTTTGTCCTAGGATATGGACTTGTGAAATTTAATTGACTGTCAATGGTCCCCTTGTTTTAATTAACTTCACCAGTATGTATAAACTATGTGAATTCCCTTGCTAGTATTAAAAAAAAATTATCAGGCTTTAACTCTATTCATCTTTACTCATAGTTCAAATGAAAGAAAACAGTGCTTATAGTGGATTCTAAAAAACAAAATGAAATCACATTCTTTCACTGCATGTTACTATTTTTGTAAAATTAATTAATCCTTGAAATATCTGGAAGATTATACACCAAATCCTTAACTGTGGTTACTTTCCACATGGTGGAGTTATATTGTTTGCCTTTTTTTTTTTCTTTCCTTATTTTTTTTGTTTTGTTGATATATATTTTCAAATTTTTCACATTGAATTTTTCCCATTTTTTGTAAAAAATTGTCAATGAAACAGTGAAATGTTTTGTTTACCTTTCAACGCTTCCACTTTTCCAGACTTTCCTTTGTATTCTTTTTTAATATTTCTGATTCTGAAATAACAAAAGGGGTACTTACTTAACCAATGCAGAAGTAAAAACAGTAAAGATCACAAACAACCCTAGTTAGACTGACAGATGCCATCAACCACTTCATGTGAAATCAGGCTGCAAGGGCACCTTGGCCTCAAAATATGGTATCATCAGCTGTTAGGGATTGAATTGTGGTCCCCCCAAAATACATGTTGTAAATTGTAACCCCTATACCTGTAGTTATAATCCCATTTGGGAATGGGTTTTCTTTATTATGTTAATGAGGTAGTTAGTATTAGTGTAGAGTGTATCTTGAGTCAATCTCTTTTGAGACGAAAAAAGCAGAGTAAGCAAAGCAAAGGTGGGGGAAGATAGATGCCATTCCACATGAAGATCACCAACGAGCCAAGTAACAGAAGTTGAAAAGAGAGAAGAACGTTCACCCAGAGCCAACAAAGAGAGAAAGCCTTCTGCTAGAGCCAACATCCTGAATTTGGACTTCTAGCCTCTTTGAAACCCAGAGATGTCTGTTTGAGGACTAAGGTGCACCTGACCCAACCCATGGTATTTTCAGCTGCCTCATATGCACGTGAAAGCTGGACTATGAATAAGGAAGACAAAAGAAGAATTGACGGCTTTGAATTATGGTGTTGGAGAAGAATATTGAATATACCGTGGACTGCTAAAAGAACAAACAAATCTGTTTTGGAAGAAGTACGACCAGAATGTTCCTTAGAAGCAAGGATGGTGAGACTATGTCTCACATACTTTGGACATGTTATCAGGAAGGATCAGTCCCTGGAGAAGGACATCAAGCTTGGTAAAGGGGAGGGTCAGCAAAAAAGAAGACTCTCAACGAGATAGATTGACACAGTGGCTGCAACAACAGGCTCAAGCGTAACGATTGTGAGGATGGCGCAGGACCTGGTACTGTTTTGTTCTGTTATACATAGGGTCACTATGAGGCAGAATGGATTCAATGGCACCTAACAACCACAATAACAACAGCCTCCTAAACTGTGAGAAAATAAATTTGTTTGTTAAAGCCACTCACTTGTGATATTTCTGTTATAGCAGCACTAGATAACTAAGACACTAGCCTACTCAAAAACAAAACAAACAAAAAAAGACTAATGCTTATTTTTGATTAATCGTTTTTTAAAAGGTTAACGCCAAAAAGTTACAAAAAAAAAATAGTAAATGCAAAAATGTTTGTTGAATGAAGGAGTAAATTAAGGAGGCTACCATGAAGGCTGCTTTCATAAGGTTTTCCACTGGCTAATTCTTTTCAGAAGTAGACCACCGGGTCCTTCTTCCTAGTCTGTCTTAGTCTGTAAGCTCAGCTGAAACCTGTCCACCATGGGTGACCCTGCTGGTATTTGAATACCGATGGCATAACTTCCAGCACTAAGACAGGGCTAGAGCCATACAGCCATTTTTCTTAGCCTCAGGACAGCCCCCCTCACCCAGCCCATTTCCTAGAGTTCTTTCTTTTCCTCCTCAGAACTTCCTTAAAGAGAAACAGCCACTGGCTAGCAGGAATCAGCAGAAATAGGTCCTGTCCTCCATCCTGGCATTCCAGATGACCTTTAGCTCATTAACCACTTTATGCATGGTAAATTCTCCACCCCTGGGTAGAGAGCTGACATACTAACGAACAAAAATGACTAAGTTCCTCCTGTGTGGGGAATCGAACCCAGGCCTTAGAAAATGCTTACTCACTCTTGGTTCTGGTTAGAATTCTGCAACCTTTCCTCCTGATACATACAGCTCAAAGGCTGCTAGGGAAAGGCGAAGAGTAGGTGTGTCTATAAAGCACAGAGACCTCCCGGGAAAAAGGAATCAATATCCTAAAAACCAGTTGTCACTGAGGCAATTCCAGCTAACGGTGACCTCATGTGTGTCAGAGTGGAGCCTTGCCCTGTGGGGTTTTCGACAGATGATTTTTCAGAAGTAGATCACCAGGCCTTTTTTCCAAGGTGCCTCTGGGTATATTTGAATCTCCAACCTTTCAGTGAGCAGTTGAGGGCATTAACTGTTTGCACCACACAGGGATTCCATCAATACCCTAGTACCTTCTATGTCCTCCATATAAAATCAAGTTCAAATGTTGGGATTTGACCACTCTCCAGTGGTGGAGAAGGGCAATGATGTTCCTAAGACAAGATCACCATGAAGAAAGAAGAGACAAGATTTGTGGGTTGGAAACTACATTCAATGTTGGGCGGTCATAGGGCAGTTTTAGGCTTCCTTGAAAACCCAGAACCTGCTTTAATAGTACCTGGGTGTATAGCACCTTCTCACCAAAGATCTAAAAGGTTAAGCATCTAAGCCTACTTTCCTACTTTGGTGTGGAACTCAGTGAGGTGCTCACAATGGAGTCAAAAGCTTTAGTGACTAGGCCTTGCATCAGACAACTCTTCTTTCCTGGTTTGTCAGTGACAAAGGGCCTCCAGTTTAGTGACAATCCAGACCAAGAGACAAGGACGTCCAGAGCCAACATTGCATAGATAAGCTGGGAGTGGCAGGGGGACATTTCACTTTCTCTCCTTGGCCATTAAGCAGCAGTAGAACAAAGAGAAGTACTGTTTTTTGGATCTCTGGGAGTAACCGTAAGATTTTCTTAGATTAAATCTGAAGATTACTGTAATTTGAATAATAAGATAATTTTATTTTTGTGCTGGCAACTAGTAAAGAGGAGGTGAGAACATTGGAATTGAATTGTGGGGGATTATTCCTCACTTTTCTAGCAACCATATAGGACAGAGTGGAATTGCCCTATAGGGTTTCCAAGGCTGTAATCTTTATGGAAGCAAACTGCTATATCTTTCTCCCTGTGGAGTGGCCAGTGGGTTCGAAACTACCAACCCTTCAGTTAGTAGCTCAGCACTTAACCACTGTCCTACAGGATCACTATGAGTTGGAATAAACTCAAAAGCAACGGGTTTTTTTGTTTTGTTTTGTTTAGTATTATTCTTCACTTGGCCTTTCTCTTTTGGATAGATGTTTTCCACGGAGCTGGTAATCTTCCGTGTTGAGGTTGGAAGCCAGGGTGTTCTGCTGCCCTCTCAGAAAGCTTATCAGAAAATAGAGTTAGAATTGGAAGGACGAAGCTTAGGTAGATACGTTTGTCTTAGAGAGAAATATTTCACTTCCTATTATATTCCTTTATATTCTTTTGCCTCCTGACATTTCATCAGTATCCAGAGGCTATGACCATAGACTACGAAGCCAGGCTGTCTGGATTCCCATCCCAACATCCCACTTACTAGTTACACAACCTTGGGTAAGATACTTAACCTTTCAGCACTTCTCTTTTCTAATTTGTAAAATGGTGAAAATAAAAGTACCCATCTCATAAGTTTTTTTGTGAGAATTAAATGCTTATCTGGTACATAATAAGCACTAGATGGGTATCTGTTAAATAAATAAATGGTTAATATTTAAAACTCTGATTTTTTAGCTTTAGCGTACATTAGAAAAATCTGCAGGGCTGTCTAAAATTCACAGATTCTTGAGTTTAATCCCACATTGAGTTAGAATCCCTGGGGGGTAGGGTCTGAGAACACAGATATTTTAAGAGTTCCTCATGTGATTCTGTTACATACCAAATCCCATAATTGCCCTTCAAAGTAGATGTTACCCTCATTTCATAGAGGACATTGAGGGTCAGAAAAAAATTTATTTATTTTTAATAAAGGACACTGAGGGTCAGAGAAATTTATTCATTTTTCCAAGATTACACATAAAACGAGAGAAAAGTGTGGTATTAGGACCTAAGACTTTCTGAATTCAAATTACTTGGTTTTTACACAGATAGGCCAGACAAAACTATGAAGAAAGGGGCTCAGAGAATGAAAAAAGCAAGAATAAAAGAGAAAGGGATCATCAGTGACAGAAGCAGGGAGAAAGATAAGATGGAGGATGATAAGGTAACAGTATACAGAGCTAATCAAAGAGAATTTTCCTTTCGAGTAGCAGTTGGGAGAAATTAATATTGGTGGCAATGGAACAATCCACAGTGATGTTCACCAAAACAAATTTCATCTCTTTTAATATTTTGCCTAAAGCTCACTCTGCTGTTGTTGGTTAATAATTCTTTAGCATTGCACTCCTCTATTAACCTAACTATGTATGTGATTATCTGGAGCCCTGTGGCACAGTGGTTAAGCGCTTGGCTGCTAACCAAAAGGTTGACTGTTCGAACCCACCAGCTGCTCCACAGGAGAAAGATGTAGCAGTCTGCTTCCATAAAGATTACAGCCTTGGAAACCCTATAGAGCCTTTCTACTCTGTCCTATAGGGTCACTATGAGCCAGAATCGAGTCGATGGCAATGGATTTGGTTTGGTTTGGTGATTACCTGATGGCTTCTTTTCCTTGGAATTCTGGAGCTATTGGTTCAAAGCAATCATCAGTGGAATGCTCAGGGTCGATTTCCTTCTCAATGACCTCATAGTCAGTTCTTTGGCGTTGCAAACAAGGTGATGAGTTCAGGAAGAACAATGGAGAATAACGGCGCTCATTTCCATCTAAGTAATCAAGAAGCAATAAAATATCGAATCAGCAATATAAACCCAATGAGCAAAGAAGCTATATTATTATCATAATACTACAGAATGTCTTGAACTTTCAAACATCATAGATAAATTCTTTACTTTCTAGCTTTCCATTGAGGTAAAAACTTGATAATGAAGTAAAGAATGAAAATTCAAAGAATAAACCAAAAACCAAACTCGTTGTCGTTGAGTCAATTCCAACTCATAACAACCCTATAGGACAAAGTAGAACTGTCCCACAGGGTTTCCAAGAAGTGGCTTGTGGATTCAGACTGCTGACCTTTTGGTTAACAACCAAGCTCTTAACCACTACGCCACCAGGGCTCCAATTCAAAGGATAATAATATGTTATTGTAAAAGTTAAACAATATAATAGAACTTTCAACAAGGTATAAACTTCAAAATGACTTTGAAGGTGCTTAGAAGAATGCATGAAACCAAATATTTGGCAAAACACAAACCCTTAATGTGGCACATAAAAAACAATAGCACGCATGTTTGTAAACTTAAGAAATCATTTCAGCACAATAAAACAATTGAATATCATATTGCGATACATGAATGAAAGGTACCTGAAGAAATTATATTTGTTTAGGATAAATAGTCATTTTCCAGACTTTAAAAAATGAAATAGTTTTTGTTAGTAAGGACTTCACATATAAACCAGAAATAACAGAAAGACAGAAAAAGATATAAGGAAATGCACAGAAACATAGGAGACGATCTTAAAAACAGTCAACATGGAAGGAACACATGAAATAAGAAGACAAATAAATAAGGATTTTCAAAGACAAAAAATTCTGATTCCCATATGTGCAAAGGAATTCTTGGTTTATGTGAAATCTTTGGTTGTTTCCAAGAAAAAGAAAAGCTAACTGGGTAATACATTTCTGTAACTATACACAATATAGGAAAAAAATTGAAAATAATGCTGAAAATGTACTTTCTAATTTTCATTTCTGGTATTCTTTAAAGGATGGAAACTTCTCTTTCTGAAATGGTCCTTCCCGAAACGGGGGAAGGTAGGAAAACACTGACTATATCCCACCTGAGGTCCCATCTAACTGTGTTAATTTACAACCTGTCCCACACTCTTGTAAATAAAAAGAAAAAACAAAATTGAGTAAGAGGCACTTCCACAGTACTATGGCCCTACACTAGTCAAAACTATCTTAAGAACTAATTTATTTCAGCTTGGTCTGATACAAATCCTAAATATCATACTTTGAAAACAGGTTCAAGGATCCCTGAAGAAAGTAATATTATTTAATTACTATATAATTATAATATGTGCTATAATTATTATCATCATATAATTACAATATATATTATTATATTAAAGCAACAATAATAATTGTTTTTACATTAAAATTCCTTCAGATCATTAAAACTATAAAGTAGAAATGAACTTATTCATCCTGTGGTGGGAAATATTTGTTATTCTTCATTTCTTAAAATATATTTACCTAACATTAACAAAAACTCTTCAACGTAATCAATCCTTATAGAATTCAAAGAAAAATTCACAGTTACTTACAGGGTAAGATTCTGTCAAAGTATAATGCCAGTACCAAGTAGAAAAGACCATCAAAAGCCAACATTGAAAAAGTTCCTGTCATTATATACGACTCTCCTGAAAGCTCAGGAAAAATTACACCATTCAATTTATAATCCAAGTGGATAATCTAAGAGTCCAGAAAAAAAAAAAAATAACAAATGCTTAAAGGAAATAAATTAAAAGAAATTTGATGTAGTAACAAGAATTATTATTTGACTAGCTTTTTCAACAAGCCCTTATAATGAGGTCAAAATATTTATATTTTACTGAAAAAAATCAAAGTAATATTGGAAGAAATCACTGATTAAAAAAATACAATGGTCTAAGAATAGGAATTCAAATTATAACTCATTTGCTTATTTTCAAGAAGTTATTGCAATATTACAAAGTATCATTTCTATGGAAAAAATAACAAATTTTAGAAAACAATATGAGGAATTATTTGAAGCATCTCCTTAGGATAATGATTTTAAAACTTACCTCTTTCTTCAGTTATTACTGAAAATAAAGATTTGTATTTATAATTTTGCAATATAATAATACCTACACTGACATGAAGATATGTTCTAGGCACTATTCTAACAGCTTTTTATATTCTCTCACTTCACCTTCCTCATAACTCTACAGGACATGCGTTATTATTCTTATCTTCATTTTACATATGATGAAACTGAGGCACAGAGAGTTTGAGTAGCTTATCCAGCCAAAGTCAAAATCTACATGTTACCAAACAGATCTGAATGTCTAGATTCACTGGGAGACATGTACAAGAATATTTGTAGAGAAATTATTAATATTAATAACCCAAATAAGGTCTCACTTCTCCCCAAATTAATTTGAAAATTCAAATACGAATGTTAAAATTTTAACGTTTTCATGACGAAGTTGAGTTTATTCCAGGAATTCAAGTTTGGGCCAACATTTGAAAACAATCAATTTAATTCAGCATAAAACAGATTAAAGAGGAAAATTATGTAGTCAACCTAGATGCAGAAGAAGTATTTTATAAAATTCAATATCCATTCACGATAAAGAAAACCTCACTGTAAACTAAGAAGAGAAGGAAACTTTCTTAACTGGGTAAAGGGAAATGTACAAAGATAGCATCAAGCATCATGCTTAATGGTGAAATTTTGAAAGCTTTCCATTTGCCTGTATTTCTATTTAACATTGCACCAGAGAAGAAAAATAAACCATCATTATCTGCAGATGATATGATTATATATGTGGAAATTCCAAGATAAAACACAGAAAAATACTGGCTTTAATAAAAGAGTATAGCAAGAATGTTGGATAAAAGGCCGATATACAAAAATCAGCTGTATCTGTATTAACAACAAACATTTAGAAAATAAAAATTTAAACATCAGTTCCACTTACAACAACATCAAAAATATCAGACACTTTGGAATAAATCAAATAAAATTGTGCAAGACCTCTACACTGAAAACTAAAACAAGTATTAAGGGAAATTGAAGAATACCTAAATGAATGCATATATGTATGCATCCCACTATTCAAGTCCTACATATATACCAAACAGATCTGAACGCCTAGATTCAATAGGAGACATGTACAAGAATATTTGTAGAGGCATTATTAATATTAATAACCCAAATAAGGTCTCAATTCTCCCCAAATTAATTCGAAAATTCAACTGCACCAAAATCTCAACAGCTTTGTGCACGCACATGCATGTGTATGGGTAACTTGATAAGTTAATACTAAAATTTACATCACTGCAAACGACCTAGAACAGACAAGACTCTCTTGAGAAAGAAAACAGTGTGGTGAAATTAACTCTGGGTGGCAAGAATGGTTAAGCGATGGATCAAAAGGTTGGCAGTTCAAACCCACCCAGAGGTGTCTTGGAAGAAAGGCCTGGTGATCTGCTCCTGAAAGATCACGGCCTTGAAAACCCTTTAGGCCACAGTTCTACTCTGCACACATGGGGTTGCCTTGAATCGGAATCGACTTGATGGTAACTAACAACAACAACAACCAGATATCAAGACTTATAAAACAAAACACTATGATATTGGTGCAAGGATAGACAAATGGGCCAAAACATGACAGGCTGAGCTACGATAAAGGAACCACTGCAATTCATTCAGGGAAAGGGTGGTCTTTTCAATAAATAGTGCTGATGCAAGTGGACGTTCGTGTAGAAAAATTAATGTTGACCTCTACCTACACATATACAAAAGTTATTTTGAAACGGAATATACATCAAAATGTAAAAGTTATAACAATCAAGCTTCCAGAATAAAATGTGAGAGAACATTTCATTATCTTGGGATAGGTAAAGATTTCTTAAACAGACACAAAAGTACTCTACATAAAACAAAAAATGTTAAATTGGACTTTATCAAAATTAAGAACCTCTGTTCATCAAAGGCCACCATTAAGACAATAAAAAAGCAAGCAACAAATAACTGAAAAATGTTTCATATCCAACATATATAAAGAATTCCAATAAATCAATAAGAAAAAAATAGACATCTCAGTATAGAAATGGGCTAATGAGGTTGACTGGCAACTTACAAAAGAAAAAAATCCAAAAACATGAAAAGAAACAGTAAACATATGAAAAGTTATAGAATTTCATTAAAAATCAGGAAAATGCAGATTGATACCACTGATGATATATTACTACATATCTACCTGAATGGCTAAAATTTGAAAGACTGACAACCCTAAGTGTCGGTGAAGACATGGAGCAATTGGAGTTCTGGTGGTGCAAATGTAAATTCTGGCAATTACTTTAGAAAAATATTTGGCAGTAGCACAAAGATTAAGATATACATACTCTAGATCCTACTATTCAACTCCTACATATATACCAAACAAATCTGAATGCCTAGATTCACTGGGAGACATACACAAGAATATTTGTAGCAGCATTATTAATATCAATAACCCCAAACTGGAAAATATTGTTATTATTAATAAGAAAATTGATAGTATATTCATACAATAGAATACTCTATAACAATACACTATAGCTACACACAAAATATGGATGGCATCTAACAATATAATATTGAATGAAAAAATCCAGATTTTCAAAAATACATTTTGTATACTATCATCTATATAAAGTTCAAAATTAGGCAAAACTGAAAAAAAATTATATTTAGGGATGCACATTTAAGTGGAAATGAAAAGCAAGGAAATGATTTTATAAAAATTTTACCAAAAGAAATGAGTGTTTTGAGAGTTTCTGGGGTGATTGCAACCTTCTACTGCTTGACCTGGTTCACGGTTACTTTGATTTACTTTATAATTATTGGCTAAACAGTATACTTATAAAATTTTTGTATTTGATCCATAGTTCACAAAATGTCTTTTTAAAAAGACTATTTTTTTTGGTCTGTTTTTTTAAATTTTTTTTTTTATCGTACTTCAGGTGAAGGCTTACAGAACAAATAGTTTCTCATGAAACAGTAGTACACATACTGTTTTATGACATTGGTTAACAACCCCACAACATATTAACCCTCTAACTTCTCAACCTTTTTTTCTGGTGAAAATACAC